AGAAATCACCCCCGGGGGGATGGTCACGCCGCAATCCCTTCTCCTCCATTCTCCTCTCAGGATCCTGGGCATGCACGCACACGTGCCTGGCGTGAGTTTTAAGCCACCGGGTCCGGGACGCAAACCGTGGTCGACTACGTGGGAGTCCAGCGACATAGCCATTACGCCAACTGCTGGTTCCCCAGGTTTTCTTGTTAATTTAAAAAGGGATATACTAGGGCCAGCAGATGGCGTGGTGGTTGAGGTGCTAGACTTCCATGTGGCTGACCGCAGTTCGTGTCCCAGACCTGGTAGCTTACTTTGTCACTTTCCCTCTTTCTCTGGTGAGCACACGTGCCCTATAGCAAATTAAAATAACAATAACTAAAATTAAATAAATGATTCTTTTTTTGAGAGTTTTTTTGCTATAGGGTGTGTGCACTCTTAAGAAAGACAGAGAGAGAGAGACAGAGACAGAGAAAGTGAGAAATCACCCCCCGAGGTGGGATGGCCACACCGCAATCCCTTCTCCTCCATTCTCCTCTCGGGATCTTGGGCACACACGTGCACGCGCCCGGCGTGAGTTTAAGCCACCAGGTCTGGGACTCAAACTGTGGGCGACTACATGGAAGTCCAGTAATGTATCCACTATGCCATCTGCTAGTCCCATAAATGATTCTTTCAAAAAAAAGAAACAACAAAAATAAAGAGGGCAATGCGGAACCCTGGATTGGATCCTGCAGTACCGATGTGTGCTGAAGTCAGAAAACTGCTCCACAGGGTGCATCTGCGGAAAGCTGGGTGCGTGGCGTTGCTGTGTAACCCGACGTGGGTGAGGGCTTTGTGCTTACGCTCAGGGCACGCGCAGGCTCTGAACAAAGGCAGAATCTCTTGCTGGGGTATTAGCTGGATTGGATCCAGCGGCCTGACTGGGCCAGACAGAAACTAGCAGTAACCTGAGCACCAGCCAGAGGAGGCTGGAGGGACCTCCTTGTTCAGGACCATGAGGTGCTCCACAGCGAAGCACAGGCTCTGTCTCCCCAAAAAAAGAGTGAGCAGAGCAGCTCAGGGCTGCGGTTCTCCAGCAGAGACCTCTCGGGTACCATGTCTCTCTGCCCTCTGGCTGGGGCATGTGAGAGCAGACGGCCAGGGCCAGCCTCAAGTCCGAGAGGAGACGCGGCTGTCAGCTACTGGCCGCCGCGGGAGGAGCACTACGGGAGGTGATGGAAGCTCTGGCCCTCACCCGCACACGTGTGTCTACATGGATGGGTCTCACGCACTCGATGCCCAGCACCCAAAGTCAGTCATGTGACATGGCAGTTTGATGCCAGACAACGATCTCGCTACCCCCACAACTGTCCTCGCTCGTGGGGACACACACATTCGTACAGAAAGACGGACTGGGAGGGGGACGCCATTGCCTGGGGGAAAAGGAGGGGGGACGAGAACGAGGAAGGAGTGAATGGGGGCTTCGAATCTACCTAATGCTTCTTAGTTTTTAGGTCAGAAATTGGGGTAACGTCTTGGCGTACTGGAGAAGCGTCACTAAAATACTCGCTGCGAGTGGCTCCCGCCCTGTGGCCCCCCCCACCATGAAGCCGCTCCGGGGAGCTGTGACCACTCGTCCCTGAAATCCTCATGACTAGGTCCCTCACTGCCATCACAGTTTGTGCGAATGTCGCCTTCTCGAGCCCGCCCCGATCACCCTGCACTGTCCCAGCCACCAAACAGCACGCCACTCTATTTGCTTATTTATCATGCTTACGATGTCCTCCCGCACTGGAACACCCACTCCACGGGGACAGGGGCTTTGTCTCCTACATGTAGAGCCACGCCCAGCATAGAGGGCCTGCAGTGAACGTGAACTGAATACATGCATGAAAGGGAAGGTGACCCTGAGAGCATGAGCCACGTCGGCTGGGATGGACAGCTGAGTCAGTGGAGGGAGGATGTGGGAGCCAGGCGTCCCCGTGTTACAGAAACTGGCAGGCCACTCCAGTGGTCCCTGTGGTCAGGGATCAGCACTGGGACGTCAGTGCGAACCACCCGGTATGCTGCCACACAGACGGCCGTATAGAGAAACTCTATGGACACGTGTCTCCCATGTCTCAGAGTCCTGCACCAGCTCCTTGCTTTGCCGGCTTCCAGCCAAGCAGCAGCCACTCCCCAGCCACGGGCACACTCGCACCAGCTCTTGGTTCCCGACACGGTTCTCCAGTAAGAGCAAACCGGGCTCCTGGGAGAGCTGGCTGGTTCTACCTGTAGAGCTGGGAATACACGAGAGCGCCTGGGGCACCTTGCAGTGTCAGAAAGCAAGTGAGTCCCCAAACTCACAGGGACGGGAGATGCAGGAGACCCTGAAAGGGCTCCCAGGGGCCAAGCTGAGATGACGGAACGGGAACATAAAGTCGTACTGGCTGGCGGTGCCTGAGCCCACAGCGATATGGAAATGAACAAATGCGTAAGTGGGAGCAGAGGTGCACCAGCTGATGCGAACTCTGTCTTCAAGGAGTCAGCTCCCCACTCGTGAAGGACGGGCTGCGGCTGCCTCCCAGGCCCAGCACCAAGGGGAGACAGAGCAATTCGTGGCAGGGAGACCTGACCGCACAGCCTCTGCTGGTGACCATGGCTCAGTGAAGACAAGAGGTGCTTCGCTGCAGGTCTCACTCCCGCAGCACGTGAGCCAGTCCAGTCACGAGAAAAACGCCCAACAAATCCGGCTGGACGATCGCTACAAATATCTGATCAGTTCTCCTTCCAGCTGCCTCGGTGATCAAAGACGAGAAAAGTCATAGCCTAGAGGAGTCTAAGGAGAGCCAGACAGAGCCAGGACGCCAAGGAATAAAGGACAGCCCTGTTAGCAGGGCTGCAGCAGCACCGGGGTACCAGCCGGCTGTGTGAGAGGCTGATGGGAAAACCGGGTCTGGCGCCTGCATGCACTTGGGAACAGCAGACGGGCCTCCGTGGAAGACGTGAAGCCCAAGGAAGCCCGGAGTCTGGCTGAAGTAACACCGACACTGGTGTCCCTGCCCCCACAAACGTGCTGGCTGGTGCCCACCGTTAGTGATGCGGAGGCTGGGGGCGTGGAAGGGAACTCTCCGCACTAACCTTTCCCAAAGAAAAAAGTGCAT